TTTTTGTGTCGTATAAGAGTATATGATGACTTATTGTACTGCACGTATTATTTCTACATTATTAGATACCGTATTTCGAATGGCATCAAGTCCATGGCAGTCTTGAAACTGAAGAATCATACCTCAGACGAAAAATCTGCGGGACTAATCAAATGATGGAATTGATGGATGCTGTTTAGTGTCGTAGTATACAGTCCAGCTGATTGGATTGTTCATACACCAATTGATTCTCATTGTTATTTACATCTCATCCAGTACAAAATTTACATATCTATAATTCTTAGTAATTAAGGCTGGCAAACGTAAAGTTAGGGTTGGGGTTAGGGTTGAGTTAATCTTATCAAATCACCAAAGTCTTCGATCGATATCGCTTAACACTCTACAATATTTGCTTTAAGGCTATAATGTACAAAATTCGATAAATGGTAACCGTAAACATGCGTTGGCAACATGTCACGTTACTGCTTCAGGCTTTCAATTCATATTCTATAGAGCTATTAAAGCAATATTAGCAAGAGGTGTGCATTCAAAATTTTTTTTAAGTACTTTTCGCTACTACAATAAGACTCTTTGGAAATGCTACAATATGTCAATATAAGCTGCAACAGGTAATAAAATTGCAAACATGATACAATGGAAGTTTTCCTTTTTATTGATGGTATCCAATTTAGTTTTCATCGTAAACTCCTTGCTTATCAAGTCAGCAATTAAGGTATATTGACCAAAATTGTAACTGTAACAGGAGTGAATAGACAAACATATATGTTTAGGTACCGTAAAGAGTACTGTCACATCAATTTGCATGTGCAAAACACTGATGAACAGACGAAATGGAAAGTATTTGGTAACAAAGTCTTAACATCATAAATATATCAGAAGTAAAGCTAATCTTCAGATAATGTAAATCGACCGTGAAATCCATGACTAAACTAATTATGCAATTATAATGAGTAAGTAAGTAACCATCCAAACACGTCAAAATACTACAATATAGTGAACCAGTTTTATTATCAAGACAAAATACCAATGAAGTATATGAAGGCCGTATACATATTATCCTTTAAACGCCTTTTATACATATCTCTATAAATACGCGTACGTATGTGTACTGTCGATATAAGTGTTGCAATCAATCCTTTATCGAACATTACTATCAAATAAGATGACAATGTTCTCGCAGAAGCCAGATCTATGAAGATCTATTAATTCGTAATTTTAGTCATTCTGAATAATATTAATTTGCCAAAAATAAAGGAATTATGGCAACAAAAAATTTGAAATCCTTTATACATACAATAGGATTATTGAAGTAATCGTTAACAATTATTTTCTTTAAAAAATCATAAAATAACTATACAGCGAGACCGTTATGACGCTAGTTTTCCTTTCGTGACTATGATACAAAATTTAGTAGAAATTTAGTATAAATGCGATACCGCTGTACGACATTTAGCAACAGCAAATCAGTTGAACTCAATTTTTTTGTTATAATATCTATTACTCTCACTATATTAACATAGGTTTTATCTACAACATTTAAAAGACACGGTCGTATCCAGGTTGTTGAGACATTTGACTCTGCTCCGGTCGATGCTGTGGATTAGTTGTTTTGCGATCAATTAGAAATTCGAACATTGATACATTCAAGCGGCTTAAACAGCTAATTTTAGAGGCAGGTAAAGGATCAGACCAGAAAAAGTCATGATTTAAGGCGGAGTCACTATCGATTCGCTTAGCAGGATCGATCGTTAAGCAACGATCAATTAAATCTAAGGCATGACGGTCACGGACATAATGAGATAGACGTTCTTTGACACGGCGCTTTTGGCTAGCTGGTAAATCAAATTTTTTAAACAAATCTAATTTATCCACATCTGGGTAGACTTCAGGAGTAATTGAGCCACACAATTGAGTGATTAACGTCAACTGATTAGTTTCACTATTCCCTTGCATGATAGCACTACGAGTCCAAAATTCAGCCATAATACAACCAATTGCCCACATATCAATGGCCGGTCCGTAATCACGACAGCCAAGTAGTAACTCCGGTGCTCGATACCATAGTGTAACAACACGATTAGTAAAGCAGTGAGTCTTTTCTTTACGACTATAAACACGCGCTAAACCGAAATCGGCTAGTTTTAAGACGCCATCACGAGTTACTAAAACATTAGCCGCCTTCAAATCTCTATGCAAGACCTTATTGCTATGTATATAAAATAATCCACTTAATAAATGTTTCATCATGCGCTTAATTTCCGAGAGGTTGAATTTAACTTGTGGATTTTGTAATAGGCCGGCAAGATCATGAGCACAGAATTCAAAAACTAGATAGATACTGCCTCTTTTACGACTTTGCGGGGTACCTATCATTATAATAGCAAGATAGGTTTGATACAATTAATTTAAATATAGACATATGAATATTAATGAAGTGACGATAATAATTTGAATATTATTCGATTTTAAGTCAAAGTAACTCATACACTGTATAAATCTTTACATTTAATACTGAATAATACAATTTCCGTTGAATCTTGTCCTTGCATCATTCCATCATGATTTTAATAGATCATTACGACCTCGCAGTGATTAGCAATTTTGTCGCTTTACGGTTACTTAGTTTATGATAATATTTTTCTATACACACACAATATCTTTTAAATTAGACTAACCTTTGGATCGGCAAATTTCCTGTAGACGCACAATATTGTCATGCTTGAGAGCTCTTAAAATTTTAATTTCTCTGAGCGATGTGATAGGAAACTACCAGATGAAATATTGATACAATGAAAAAAGGTAAGCATTAAATATACACGTATAGTATCATTGCAATCTTTTAACGTAATATGCCACTGTATAGAAAGCTACAGTAATTACATCCTAGTCTCTTTCATTTCTACACCATATATTTGTAAGTAAAGTACCTACTCTGGTATCTACGTATTTTTAATCATAGCTATACTGTAATTACATATCCAGTAGAACAGTGATAATGGATAATACTGCAAACATTGCTTTGCTAAAGTAATTTACTTTTCAAGTAGGGCTATAAAAGAAAAATGATGATCCCTATCGAATACAATTTAAGCAATTCTACACTCTGAACATTAATTACAGCGCGGACTACGATTACGACCCAAAGAACTATACGTGCTCATCTAGTTACACATGGTTTACGACATGAATAGCACAGTAGAACGTACAGTATTGACTAAAAATATATGGTGAAATAAGCATATAAATCATTTGTATGATGTACGCTTGAATTACCAGTAAATTTACATATCGTAATTATTATCAAGCAATCCAATATACTATTTACATTTAATTTATCCTTTCATAATTATGGTACGTATACTAATCAATTTTATCTATCAAGACAGTTACCCCTTCTTTTTCATTGCCTAGCAAGACACGTTTAAGCGCCACAAACTCTTTGCTGATGCGATTCCTAGCTTTGAATACTTCGCTATTTCGGAAGATATGAAACCAGTACAGCATTACTATAGCTGGAGCTCTTATTAAGTCGATAGCTTACATACTTTGACATTTATATCAAAAATTTTAACATTTGATAGGCATCATTTCCAATTTCGCGAAACTGATCAATTCATATTCTATTGTATACACCAAGAGCGAATGTCGAAAATGTTCATTTCTAAAATCGACGGCACTTTTACTACTATAGTTATATAACACAACAACTCTATTCCATGAAGCAATATACTGTACTACATTCGAGGGTTTTATGTGTTTCATGTCTTGGTCGTTTACTCTGATTCAAATGGGAATTGAAGAAGCCGACTTGTATACAATTCTTATCATACACTGAAGTGTTGAGCTTGCACAAGAAAGATAGTACTCAGCATATAGCATAAATTGACAAATATTCGATTGTGTACGCTACCGGGCATCTATGGCCAAAGTATAGCGTTTTATTGATTGCTATTTTATTATCTCAGGAGGTTTATTAAAAGTTTCATGAGGTTCACTTTATTCAAGTCTTACAGTCATCATTTCAACCATTACTACTATATCATTCCACAATCCAGTATACTCGTACTGTATATAAAAGGAATTATTTTCTACCAGTCTAGCTTAAAAAGGTTATGGTGCTTGAAGCTTACTAATCTACTGTACGAATAATGTGCTGTACAAGGGAAAAGTCGATATTAGCTCTACAGAACGGTAAAACAGCAATCGGTCGTGATCAGTTATTATTAGTGATTGGCTTGTGCTTGATAGTACTTGCATGTAAGCCGTGCTTAACAAGCTCCTTTACAACTTTGGCCTTCTTGCAAAAGTAGCGTATAGTTTTAAAGCAGTGCCATGAATAATGCTTCTGATTGAAGGTCTCTACACCCATTTCCATTGGATTTTGGTTATTTTAGACGAGCACATTGTCGACTACAGTTATAGTATCGAGCATTCAACACTTTTGATAGAATATGACATCGCCGAGAGTAGGGTTCAACGCGTATGTCCATTGTACAGTGGAATCAATCTTGGCATTGATATGCATTAGCAGAGCTTTCTAATTAGGGTGGTCTACACTACAGCTAGGATTATTTTCTATTAGACCTAGATGCATACAAGTAGAGTATGTATCTCACCGATGCGTATAGTACCATCAGTTACTGCTAACCTACGAATGTATCAACATTTTCTCCATTTTTTTTTTTTGGTTACCTTCGTCATCAAAACTACCATGACAAGGTGTAAGCAGCACATACAAGCAGTGAAGAAATGGATTGCATGGTAGTTGAAATGTTATCATTTTTAGGTACACATACATGGAAAAGATCAACTGGAAAATATGCGTATATTGACTTGTAGGCCCCTGCGAATCGTTGATATTTTTATTGTACTGTAGATCCTTTTATTGTGGATTTTTTTTTTTTTCATTTCATGTATAAAGTAACCTTTTAATTAGTGTTAGCAGCACCGTAAGAAAGTATCAAGGTTGTGTCATTTATCTATTACCCGAATGTTCCGTGGCCAATCTTGGTAATTTTTTCGTACTTGCCAACATCGTGAATAAAAGGATAATTATACGGCTCTTTACTCATCGGGAACACTCAAGATGGCGTCAAGACGATCAACTAAGCAGAATGATGGGAAAAAGAAGCCAATCGACGCTCAACTGGTGTAATTCTACTCCACTGTCTCCTGTATACGCCGCATGATTAAGCGTACTGAACACTGTAGAGTATCGTACTGGACGTATCACACGGACGGACGATGCCCATCAGGACGTCCACTGTCATCCAGTACTGTACCTAGGCCTGACCTGTACCGCACCATGACTTGCTTTGACTTCACGTCTCGTAGTTGATGACCCTACGTCTGGTTGTCACGCTCATTTTCACAGTACTTTGTATGGACAGAGGCGCAGTCTCTGACATGCATCTGGTCCAAAAAAGTGAAAGTGGCAATGTACTGTACGTTAATAAGAGACCCTTATAAAGGTACGTTCTCACGATGACTTTTTTGGAGGACTACCACAAGGACTTTAGTCCAATCCTGTATTTTTGGCTTCGTCAAGGACACTCAAGGACATGGGTTAGTTTTTGAATAAGAGACTCTTAGAAGGGTCTGTAGTGTACTGTACAGTACAGTACGTACTGTAGTGTGCTGCACCATGGACTACTTGGATGTGCTGACGCATGGTAGCATTGACGCTACAGTACCGTCCAATCATGATATTGTTTTGTTTTTATTATACTGTACTATCACTAGCGATGAAAGAAGGAACACTGTACCACTGGTTGTACACTACTGTACTGTACACTACAATTGTACAGTACTGTACTGTACATAGTCCAAAAATTGGGTCCTACAGTACTTTGGAGTGGCTGCTAACACCGCACATGAGCGGGTGTTAGCTCTGTACTGTACAGTAATTTAATTTTACATACAGTATTCAGAATACAGTACTCCATGCTACGTACTGTAGTGACCGAATCTGGTCCGGACCGGACCAGAGCGTGAGATCGAGCGAGTATCACAGTACAGTACTATCATTGGATCTGATTGAGTACATTGTAGCGTATAATACAGTACTGAGTACGGTATCACTACTAGTGTAGTGCACTGTAGTATACAGACCCTTACTACAGTAGAGACCCTTAGACAGTGTATAACCGACCGTCGTCCTCTGGTAGACAAGTCCAAAATAACAGCTTCCAGCCTATCCTGTACACTGTACAGTACAGTACTGTACTCTGGAAAACAGCTCCTGCGAGAACTTCGCCAGTCGACAAGGATTTCCAATTTATCAACGTTAACAGCCATGCCTAAAGTTGTCTCTCGTAGCATTGTTTGCTCAGATACAAGAGATCAAGAAGAATATAGCAATAAAAATGCCACTCTATTCGTCTACTATTGCATCTGTGGTCAAATGGCGCTAATCATAGGTATCCATCGTACAATTCTAATTTGCAGTGGAAGGAGTCGAGCAAGGAGAAAGCCCAATTGTACTGTACTATTGCTTAGTAACGCAAGTGCTCAGTCAACCTTTTGATCATAATTCTACTAACATTTGAATATGTTCTATGCGGGATTGAAAGCTTCTATTACAACACAGTAGGATGTATTTTATCATCGACTACATACTCTCCTTATACCCGTACATGGCAAGCGCCATCATTAAATTCTCAAGGCAGTGTCTAACTTGTAGGACATGTTCAAACAAACAGCTATTCTCGTAGTTGACTAATTTACTGTACTGTCAATTGTCTATCGTTGGTGTTACATTATTTTTACCCTACTTTTGCTTATGGACTGACGAATAGACTAACTTGGTCATTTTAGCCCTTACAGTGCCAAGTTAAAATTGAAAGGTAGTAAGTAGTACAGGGGTTTCACCGTCAATCAATTCAGTTACTGGATTTCGATATCAGACGCCATGCTAATGGATCAATATTATTGCAAAGAGAACATGAACAAATGTGCAAGAAGTTAGCATCAAAGCTCCTACTATTTGTACTGTATGATTGACCAGTAATATATCGTCCAGTAAGATGCAAAAACTCTTGACAATGCCTCATATCATCAAAGCATATGACTTTGTACAAAAGATACACTGATTGCTACTAATAGTATTATTCTACTCCTACTGCGATAATAGATTATGATTTATTTAGCTTCTTTCAAGTAATACTGCAGCATGATTAGCTTTTCTACTATACGTGATTTCAACATTTTAAACTTATACTATTTATCTTTGAAAAGACAAAAAATTAACCGAATTACCGCTAAGAAAACTCGATCACGCTCGAGTTGTCGATAAGAAGAAACAAGAATGCAAGATGTTCTGTAACGATGGTAAAGTTGTCATTCTGAAAAGGTAAAATAATTCTATCATGACTACTGTCACCTTTTTCATTCTTGACCATTAAAATCATAGTTGGTGGTTAGTCATAGAACCAAAAAATGATTCCAACAATGGATAAACTAGTAAACTCTGCCAGTATCATTAGTTATTAAGAATTGAATCAAGATTGTAGCGCTTGATGAAACTGTCATACGCGTGCTGTAGTGGATTATGAAGAGCAGAAAGATATTTAATGGTCTAAGCCTTGAATAAATATCTAACTGCAGTATTTGTCAATTGAACTCATCAGGTCCGATAGCCATGGCGAACAACAGTTTAGAAAGTGTTGTATCAAGTAGGTGAACATAATATCACGATTGCATAGAACTAACGCATGAAATCTCTCCATACACATATATCAATATCCTGTGTAATAGACTCGTATCTTTGAAGTCATGGGTCTATTTACTATTAATAGGTGTAATCTTGACCTATTCTATGAACACACAGAGAAAGACAGTCCTACCCTATTCATTCTCAATGGTAATGAATAATTAATCTACCGACTAGGCAAATTATTTGAAATTGTATCTGCATTAATTTCATCTTCTTGATTAAGTATCCTATGGAATAGACTGTAATCTCTTTTAGATGTGATTTATAACCGGCTAAACTTATGTACGCGTACTCGTAGGATAGTTATCGTCTAAGATAATGGACTTACGTACTGATGTATTTGAACGACTAGTATACAATCAAACTCAGTGAAATATTTTCCTTTCCATATAAATGAAGGTGCCCTCATCGATAGCGGTGGTGGTGCTATCAAGACTAGTGTTCCTCAAACTGTTAACAGTAGCAATAATAAAAAGGTACAGAAATGTATTACATACCATTTGAATAACCTCATGCCACCAATCTGAATGTAGACTATTTCCTGCAAGCATCGAATTAAAATTTATTCCGATTTGAAAAGTGATCAGACGGACTTTCTTGAATTTCATGTTTTTATTTTACCGTTATTCCAGGTTATGATGAAAAAATATACAAGAGACATGGGAAAATATAGTTCTATCACTGTATCGACCATAGACGAAGAAGAAGATGAAATTGAGCAGGTAAATGTGGTAAAGTAATCGGATAAATAAAAGCCTCTACTGTTACAACATGACCCTAATTTCTTCTTTCGGTGCTACTGTTTATTTGATAGAGGGAAGTTGAAAATTCTTACTCTGCAAATGCGAAAGTCATCGAACAACAATTAAACAGAAAAGAAGCAGCAAGGAAAAGAATTGCTGAAATGGTACCGCTTACTATCATAATTGCCACCGTATTGTTATTTATGAAACTAATTGACGATTACTGATTTTTATTGTGCCTCTAAAATTGAAATCATTAGGCATTCCAGGAAGAAGTCAAAAAAGCAAGAGGGACATTAATTGATAAATGCCACTAAACATGCAACAGCTACTGATGCCAAATTAGATGTTACATCCATTTCTAGTGTATTATAATTCAGATAGACAACGATCCAGTTATTGCTTTGTACTACTATTTATAATATTACTGTATTTTGTTGGTTACCATTGTTCATTATCGAAAAAATTGATAGTTAGATAGAAGTAAACTTCCACAGTACTTAAATTAATACTGATCTTCGTCATCATTCGCAATTATTGCCCATCACGCTGGGATATTTTCCGTATCGGTTTGCTCTATTGATGAGTAATTTCCTTTACTGGAGAAATAAATCAACTGTATTAAAAATATGGCCCCAATTGGACTGAATTAAAGTTATTCGCCTTACGTGGAGTCTTTCCAAACGTGATAGAAATGGCTGGTAAATCCAGATCTCCTCAGCCTTACGGCAAATTGTTTATCATGTGTAATAATGACTAACTGAAAATTTCTTTGCTTTGAACGATTGTGTAAAATACTATTAAATAAAGTTTACAGATATTTCAGTGATAACACAGGTGATTTGAATAGTCAAAAGAAAATACATCAAGCAATTCGTACTCAATTAGAGACTGTGCTAAACTTTCAATATTTTCTTCATCGAGATTAGTGGTTGGTTCGTCTAAGGCTAGAATACCACAATTGATGCAGAAAGCTTCCGCCAGGGCTAGTCTTATAATTAGTGAAGCCAAGATCTGAAAGACATTATTTACATTTCTAGATTATCATAGCAGTAACGTGAAACATTAGATAGCATTAATTTGCAAGGTTTAAATCTTTTTGGTAAAAATCAACATCATCTGCCGTAATTAATTACCTTTTGTCCGGCACTACATCTTCCCCGCATATCCAGCGCAATATCACCTTTTAGCATAACAACCTAAATTATAATTTAGTGACAATTGAATATAACGATCGACCGCAAAGTTTGATATAAATATGCAGCAATAAGCCACTAGCATCCTATACGTGTACTATATATACAAGTATAATTTAAATACTGTATGTCTCCAGTAAATGAAATTTACAATAAATTGTCTAGCTGTTACACAACATTACAAGGGAACAATATTTTTTAATAGTACAATTTAAAGCATTGGCTGATCATTTATTGACAGTAATCCTCAGTCGTACCCTATAGTTGTAACTTCTTCTCGAACGTGGAGCAGCGGCGGCTATTGCATCCTGTTCTTCTTCTGAACGTATTTCGATTGTGTCAATATCTATTAAAATGATAATAATTGTAGTCATAAATTTTAAAACGCGTACTGCCTAAATCTAATATTTCATAAAAGTTAGAGATGACAATTTTAATTCGTAATTGAACTAAAATTCCAAGATTAGTAACTGCTACATATATTCGAACTATAAATAGTCACTTTTAAACTTACCACTTCCTCGATATGTGTTAATCCAAAGTTCTCGAATAATTTTATTTATCTCTACCATTTTGGAGTAATGATAGCGCATAATTGCTCTTCATAATAAGAATTTATGGGAACATGTCAATAAAAGGTACTTGATCAAAATAAATTGATCGTGCCGAGTAATGCAAAGTACTGATAAACATAATCGAAGCTTTCTAAATGTTCTTATTTATTATCTTACTACGTACCGATCTAGAGCTTTGTGATATTGACTTAAATCTTTGATAACCATTTCAGTAGTCTATACAAAGACGAAAAAATTTTATGTTACACTAATCCTAATAAGAGTAGCCAACTCTTCGCTTAATTTAATACCGTAATATCGATTTGCTTATGAAAAAAATCCTTTTCGGCATTCGCAAACATTGGAGATTTCAAATTTCGCTGAGAGCTATTAATTTTCTCTCTTAGTCCTGCCATTAGGCCATCAATTCTCGATCGCTTTTGAAGTAGTATAGAATTCCGATTTTTAATGACAGAATCAATCAGAAATTCGTATAAGCGCTTTAAATACCTCCTTTAATAATTCTGCTTCTCTAGATTTTATTTTCTGTAAATTACTACAAAAGGAACGATAAACAGAATAAATATCAAATCATATTAAAGTTAGTAGACATTCGTATATTAGGAAATAACTTCAAACCTTCTTATAGATGGTACATTTTCTCCTTTTAATTCTTGATTAAGTTCGATAATCTTCAGTTCATACGTTTCAATATCCTTTTCGTTACGGCGGATCTGAATGTTGTCTTCAAGACATCGTTTCTCTAACTACTCAATCAAATTAGATCATTTATAAGAACAAGCATTTAACGGTATAAATAATTTTCAGCCATTTCATTTTACCGTTATCACCGCTAGTTTAATGCGAAGTTTGATTCTGTGATAAATAAATATAAATGCATACCTTTCGAGAAGTGATAAAGCTCCCACTTTCTTGGATCTTGCGAGATAGTCTTTCGCGAGTAGCGGCAAGGTCATCTAGAATTTCTTTCATTCTTTGCATCTCCCCTTCACCTTCGACTACTTTGGCTTCATAGCCACTATCTTTATATCTACACAATATATATGAAAGTACATAACGAAATCAGCTTCAAATACTTAATTACCTCCAAGAATTACAAATTAGTCAAAGTTTAACAAGAATTACTTTTTAACTTCTCGATTTAATGATATCGCTTTGTCGCCCAATTCTTTAACTTCACTCAACTGAAAGGATAATAAAAAAAGTATAAATGTTAGCCTAATCTTAGCATGTTTTAGAACGTTATTTTATGATAGCACTTTAAACAGTACATTAACAACTTAATGCTTAGGCAATATATGATTGCAAAGTGGTGATTTCAAACAAATGTGTTAAATTGTGCAGGTGTAAAAATTGCTGCTTAACCTTATCACGAAATGATTCTCTTGCTTCTTCACATTGATTTTCTAGATCCCACTTCTCTTTCTTGAGTTTTGCTAAGCTATTCTGTACGAATTTTAAAAATAAACATGAGGTTTGGCCTTATCACTAAACCAAACACTGCTCCTTTCTAACCGCTATTGGCTTGATCTGGCTTTTTGCTTCCTAGTACCGCAAATTAGCAATTTATTAGTAATCTTACTTACATTGATATAGTGCATGAGAATCAAGAAAATGTAGTGTTACCATAATTTTACGTTCAAAGTCAGATATCTCCACAGCTAATTTAGTCTTTTCATCTTGCAGACGGTTAACACCTTGCAATTTAACTTGGCATTGAAACTAGATAAAAACATAAAAATAATCATTCAATAAAGATTTAAATATCTTCCGTAATATCACTAAGCCAAGTTCAAGGAATTTGTACCATTTGTGCCTTCAGGTCATTAGCTATTCTTTCCAGATCTGATATATGTTTTTGCTGCTGAAGCATTAATTGACTCTTTCGATCAATCGTTCTTGATAACGCATCACTATCATAATAATTTTTACCAGTTAGAAAGATTACGAGTATTAGTAAAATTATAAAGACATTGTAACTATACTGAAATGTTTCAGCACCATTTCGACTGCAACTCTTCGTGCTCTCTGTGAACAGTTTGCAGATTTCGTTTAGTATTACCTGTACCTGAAGGAGAAATATGAAATCCTGTGAGCTGCAAAATCAAATAAACTTGTCACTCGTACTGAGAGCAATATAAAAAGTTAACAATCACCTTTCACATTTAATTGAGTTGTCTGCAAAACAATTTCTCTTTCTAAGTCTTTCAGTTCCTTTTCATACACATTCATTGTTTCCATTTGTGGCGCAATTTTTCTAGCAACCGCTAGCTCGTTATCTAATAGGCACTTGATTTCTTTAATCTTTAAATACAAAAACGTTTAATTGTTAGCTAATTGTTTCATAAAAGGCATGTCGAAACGATAATATCTCCCACATCATCAAAATTTTTTTTCTCTTTTTGAAGTTCTCCTTGGTAATCGTTAATTTTTGCCCTTATGACAGGTAATTCATCTTCAAGGGCAGTTATCTAAATCATTCATACAATACATTACTTAGCGTAACCTTTTAATATAAGTCAATACAGTACATCAAGATCGTCAACAAACCTGATTCCTAACTGGCTTTAACTGCAAGAAGTCTTCATATTTACTCTGCTGGAGTTCAATTTTCTCTCTATGCTGTGATAGCCTAGAAGGTATACTTTCGACTTTTGTGCGTATCTTAAAATAGAAGAGTACACTCATAAAGGGATAACGTAGCAAGAGACAGTAAAAAAATAAAGGTATTCAATATTTTGTATTCATCGAGATAACGTTAGTCTTACGGACAATGATGACTCGTACTGAAACTGAAATATTTTGGATTACCTCTTTTACTAAACTTGCGTTCTCACTCCGGCTACCAAATCGTCTATGACAAAGGGGACAAGGTGAATCTTGCTCTTCTAGTTTCATGATATACTTTTGAAAAAAATGCTGGGACGCATTAATTGCACCAACTTCTCTGTAGTTAGAAAGAGGTCAAAGTTGACTTCTACTTGAATCGAACGTAACAAAATATTTAGGAGCTATCTTACATTCGCAATTTTTCCAAGCTTGATTGCAGCCTCTCAAGTTGTAAGTCAAAATCTTGGTTACCACAGATTTCGAAGACTTTTTCTTGTAATTCTAATAGCACGGATTAGTTACGCATATTTTTTAAATCTCAAAGGATTTATCATCACATAGCAATAACTAACATATTTGAAAATATTGCAGAATACGCGTAGATTCAAATATTTTCTATAAATACCCGTTAAGGTCCTCTGTTTTCTTTCTAGCTTATCTCTATAAAAACAATTTTCAATAAGCTTGACAAATACATGATTAATGGAATGCTAACTCTAGCAACGTACTGTTCAATCGCAAGGAAAGTTTCTGTTGAGGATAAGTTTTGTTGAGCTTTCTTCATTTTGGGTGATAAGGTTTCAAATTCCACTTCTTTCCCCCTTAATCGTGTTATTTTGACGAAATAAACAATATGAAATACGTAGTTGCTTGAAGAACAACTTAAAGCATACAATTAATAATTTACTAGTGACTAACTTTACCGAATATAATCCG